ACGGTGCAAACACGTGTTATAGCCTAAATAGAAACTATGCATACGCTTGCACCTGTTAATCGTTTATATTTATACTAGTTCATGTTGCTTTTGTACAATAGATGAATAACAATTTATTTGTTTTAGATATTTTATATTTAGATATTTCTATTTTGTGGGAGTCCCATGAATCATTTTATTCTCCCGCATCCCGCACACACACGAGTGTCTACCCGCCCGCACCAGCACTCGCCTTGGTGAGTCTTGGTTATTGGACCTGCAACCCTCCTGGACCAAGAGGTCCAGTACATGCTGAGCAATGTAGCCAATCGCGCTGCCACTGATTGACAGCTGTAGTGGTTATATTAAAGGGAGCGCTCTTTGGTTGCTTTCTGTATTTAATCTATTCACAATTTGAATAAAAGTTTTAATAAAGGAGTTTTGTCTACCTCATGTAGGAGATTTAATGCAGGTGAGTCCTACTTTTTATGTCAAATGGGTCAGGTATGGGATTAAATTAATGTTGCGTTTAGATAATGTGTAGGGTGTTCTGTTAATTACTGTGATTGTGGAAAGATCATTTCACCAGCCATGTGTGTTCTGTGATGTTACCACGAGGCATCGCTTGCTTACAGGTCTCAGGCTTCTGGAGGGGATGTAGATTCATAAGAGTGAGGAGGAAGTAGGAGGGTGCTGAGCCTGTGGCTGTTCTGTACACAAACATCATTGTCTTGAACTTGATGCGAGCCACAACCGGTAGCCAGTGCAGGGAGATTAAGAGAGGTGTGAAGTGGGCCCCTATGGGCTTGTTGAAGACCAGTCGTGCCGCTGCATTCAGAATCATTTGTAGAGGTTTGATTGCGCATGATGGAATCTCAGTCACAAAAGCATTGCAGTAGTCCAGACTAGAAATTACAAGGGCCTGCGCAAGAAGTTGTGCAGCATGCTCTGTTTGGAAGGACCTGATCCTCCTGATGTTGTGCAATGCAAACCTGCATGGTCGAGCTGTCTTTACAATATGGTCCTTGAAGGTCAGCTGGTCACCAAGGAATAATTTTTGATGACCCTAGCAGTATGATGAAATCATGCTGTGGAGTCGGAGTGCCAGGGAAAACGAGAAGATTCAAACCAGTGGAGTGCAGATCCGGTGATGGTAGACAGGAGAATCTGATGATTTACAGTGTTAAAAGTGGCAGATAGATCCAGCAGAATAAGAACTGATGATTTGGAATCAGCTTTCGCTGTCTGCAGGGCTACACTGACTGATAGTAAAGCAGTCTCAGTTGAATGGCTGCTGCTGAAACCTGATTGGTTAAAGTTCAGTTGGTCATTCTGTGAAAGAAATAATGTAATTGTGTCTATAAAGGTGTGAACCAAATGGTCCATACCATTAGAATAACAAAGGAACAGCATTCCTCAGGAACGTCTTGTAGATTGCAGGTTCTCCAGTGGGAAGGTCCTAACAGTATTGTTTCTAGCCCTTTTGTCTTCAGGTATAAAATTATATCTCACAGACAGTACTTTGGGAGAAGCTAGGATTCATACAAGGGTTAAGATTGTTTGAAGGAAGACATGCTAACATCGCTATTGAAGACCTGCTACACTACCATCTTCAATAAATTCTTCTCCCCACAAAACTTTTGGTCAAGCCTACTTAATGTTTTGCATTAGAGAAATCTAGTACATTGGTGAGCCACCCAAAAGACTGCTCAGAAAAAAAAGAGATGATACTACATGGATACTAAAGATGATGATACATGGGGCTTCTAACTTTTTAGGTTAGAAGGGGTAGTATGCACTGGCCTGTCTAGACAGATATTGTCTTGACAAGAAGTTAAAGTGGATCATAAAGTGTCAGTTGCTG